ATAATAAACGTTTCTGATGTGAATAGTTTTCTGTTCATGTGTTTATTGCTGCATTCCTGCATGGAGCTGGGTATGTATGTCTATCTGTTCATATATGAAACTTGGCATGTGGGTGGTCATCTATTTATTCTTACACATTTTAATTTAGTACTTGTGGACTTTAACTTACATGTTGCTACTTGCAATGTGTTACCAGTGTTATTATTTGAATAACAACGAACTGTAAATTTATACATACTACATCACTTGCAGAGTATTTTTTAAAAAGAATGCATTATTTACAAATCTCATTAAAGTACAAATTAGAAAAGTATTTATACAAGTAAGCAAATAAGTTTTTACACAAATTACAAGTGAAGGTAGTCAAATTCATATAAGCCTAAGAAGAAAACAAAATAGACCTTTAGTTTAAGAGTATGGTTAACTGCATAAGTAGGCATAAAATTTTCATTTACAAATTTCTGAAAACTTCCTTTAACATCTTCCCAAAGAGGGTAAGACTTTTATTTTTTCAATAAATGAAATAATACTTTCAATAAAAAGCCAGCTTCTATTCATTTCCAAAATAACTCTTGTGTATTATTATCTGTAGTAAAGTTTTATAATCTGGAGTTACTAGAAGTGTGTGTTTTGTCCCTCCAATCTCTTCCCTATATCTACTAATGAATAATTTTCCGTCCTTTAACCTTGATTTAGCATGTTAGCTTTTGAGTTTACTGTGCACTCATTGGGGCAAGGAAGTAAATCCTACATTTATAACCACAGAAATGCCTATGTTATGCCCATCCCACTCCTTTTTTTCAGTTTTACTGGGGTGTGAACTCAGGGTTTCCTGCTTCTTAGGCAGGTACTCTACTATTTGAGCCATTCCACCAGCCTTCTGTTTTCTCTTCTATAACTGCACCTTTTAAGGCCATCTTCATTCATCATTGGACTTGTGAGAGTAAGAGGTACAAATTTAAATATAGGCCCTTGAGTCTATATTACCTAAATCAATGGATTTTTATGTATTATTTAGCATAAATCCATATGTATGTGTGTGTGTGTATATATATATATATATATATATATATCACATATTTCAAACATCAACTTGTGTTTTCATTTCTAATAAAGTCATTTTACAGAAATGAAGTGTGACATCCCAAAGTGATCAGAAAACTTGAACCCCATAGACATCATGCTTGTCTGACCCCGATGGACCTGATCTTGACACATTTCTGACTATGGAGTAATGAAATCTATTCACCATTGAAAAATAATTATTTTAGCTTCTATCATGAAATGTGTTATATATTTATATTAACAAAAATAGTCAACCAAAAAGTCTTAATGTTCTAAGAGAATGGAAAGGTCACCAAAGTCCCATGTGTCCTGGGACTGAGTTACACAGTAGAGCAATAGACAAAGATCCCAGAATCAAATATAATATGTGCACATATCTTCGCTGGACACTTCAATTCTGTTAATTGGCTTTCAATTTGGTTTTCAAAGGCCGTCAATATCACACAATCCCATAAAGCACATAACAAATACATACACTGCTCTTGAGACTACAATGTAGCAGACTTGAAGGACCCACTATATCTGGGACTGTTTTATAATTATTTAATTTGCAGTACTTGGGATTGAACACAGGGCCTCATGTGTGGTAGGTTAGCACTCTACCACTGAGCTATTTCCATGACCCTTTTTCTTTAGTTTTTATTTTGAAATAGGGTTTACTTAAGTTGTCCATCCTGGCCTCACAGTTGCATTCCTCCTGCTTGGCCTCCCAAGTAGCTGGGATCACAAGCATGTACAAACCTGCCCACCTTCATTCATTATGTTCGAAGGGTGATTAATAATGCACATATCCTTGAAAAACTGCACCAACTTCTATGTCTTAATGCAGTTACTTCATAGGCTACTTGAAACCAATTAAATGAGAAATTTCCTTGTACAAAAATTAACAGCTGTAAAAAACAAGTCAAAGTACATATGCAAAAGTCTCTATTTTCCTTGTCAAAATTTATCTGGGATTTCACAGGGGCCCAGTGTTTCTACAAATTCTTTTAAAACTAAAATATACCTAATGTCAAAATAATGAAATATTATTTTTTAAAGTTTTAATTAGTATGTAACAATTGTACAGGGGGTTTCATTGTGATATTTCCATACATGTGTATAATGTACCCCAGTTCTGTTCATCCCTTCAATTATGCTCCCTTTTCCTCCTGTCCCTTCTTAAAACGACTTCAACAATTTTCAATGCTTCTTGTTCATACACAGGTAAAAATAAAAAGTTTTCATACTAATACACTTAAGTACCCTTGCATGTTTTGTTTTCTTTATTTGTATCATGGTGCTGATATAAATATGCTAAATTTACGGTTATAGAACACAAAACCTAAGCTATGCAATTGTAGTGATTTGCCACTTATTAAACTCAAGACATGGATGTATTTGTGATTCCCAGATCTTCACTACTATTATCCACTTCTCTAGAGCACTTTTGAAGGAATGGGACTTATCCTTGGTCCACAATAATTTCCCGTCAGGTGATTCACTGTCTCTAGGGATGACAGTCCTCTGCAGGTTATACTCTATTTAATCAGAAACTAAGTTTATCTTCCTTTCAGGCCATCATGTATAACTTAACATAATTTGAAACAAAGAACTTTCAACCCCATAAATTAAGATAGATCAATCTCACAATCAAATCAGTTTATGGTATTTTTAGACATCCTTACAGAAGATTTTAATTTTCCTTCTATTTAGTTCACATCTACTATGTCTAATAAAAGGGTGATGATACGTTGTTCAAATTAGTGTTGGGCTGTTTTAATAAAAGTAACCATGGTGAAGGAGATAGGTTAATTGGATGCCTATTTGTATTCTGTACATTGTTGGTAATCTACTGCCACCCCATTTGATGACCCATCAGATGTCTGGCTTTTACTTATAGTTTAATATGATTGAAATAATATTTTCTGCAACATTTCTGCTTGTTTTAGTGTGCATTTTGATTACAAAATATCATAGACCAGTCAGCTTAAAAATAAAATAACATTTTGTATTACATTCTTGGAGTCTGAAAGCAAAATCATAGCATTAAAACATTTAGTGTCTGGTGAGAGCCCTCTTTACACTTCATTGGCAGTCAGATTTTTTCCATCCTTAGGTAGCAGAAAGAGCTACTGCTTTCTCATGTCCTTCATTATAAGAACAATGATCCAATTTCTAAGGGCTATGACCTTATAGCACCAACTAAATGCCTCATAAACTATCACCAACATTTGGGGGATTAGAATTTCAACATATGGGGAAATAAAGCACAGCCATGCTCATACATCATAATTGCAAATATGTCAAGGTTAATTGAAAACATAAGGTGTGTGTGGAAACCTAAGCGGCCTTTTATCTATAAAAAGAATCCTTCATAGGCAATGTCCTGTGGTGCCTGCGTCTGATGTGTCAGTGTCTCACATGCAGCTTTGAAAGCAGAGGTCCTTTTTAGGCTTCTATTCTGAAATTTTTTCTCACAGGGACATTTCTACTGGCAGCTAAAAAACCTGTGATTTATAGTGGATTTTAGTTTCTATAATTAGAACAAAAACTTCATAATGTTACTGTATGAATCTTCAACTTCACAACCATATCCAGATATTCTTAAGATTATTCAGTGTTTTAGTTATTGGAAAGAAAATGAGTGGAGGAAAATGAAAAAGGAAAGTATCAAATACATACATATATGATTTTTCTTTACTCAGAAAAATTAAGACCTTTGTGCTCACTTCGGCAGCAAAATATACTAAAATTAGAATGATACAGAGAGGTTTATCATGGCTTCTGCACAAGGATGGCACACTAGGTAGTAAGGCATTCTATATTTCTAAATAAATAAATAGTAAAAAAAAAACCTTGTCTTTGTAGATACATTTCTATCCACAGACATTTTATGTCATTTCTTAAAAACTATAGTGTGTGTGTTTAAGGATGTATATGTATGGATATGGCATATAACACACTCAAAAGTTAGTTTTACTGTACACATATGTGCTGTATATTATCTGGCATTTCATTATTTGCTTTCCTTCCCCTCATGAAGATGGTTTATATAACTAGTATAGGATATTCAGCCTTTGAAAAAAAAGTGTGCTTGTAGTTTCTAAGGGAGATATCGATTTGAGAAGCAGAGTCAAATTATACTGTTTTAAATAGGCGAATCACAGAGAAGCATTTGACCAGGACTGAAAATGGGAAAGAAGAAAAGGAAAGCTTCCTGGTATAAATGATGGATGACTTGATGGTTGATAATTCCAGCACTCAGGTGTACATTTTCTTTTCCCTTTATATTCTGACCTGGTTGGACATCTTTCCTTTCCAAATCTCTTAGAAAAGTCTACCTCAAGTCTACTCTAATTGTCAAATCCTCTGCCAAGAATACTTTCCTTACTCTGAGAAGCATGTTTGCCATCTGAGACTGAATATCTCTGTCAAAGAAAACATTTCTTCTGCACACTTGGTTTAGGATCTTTGTTTTGAAATTTCATCAATAAGTCTTTGATTTCAGGATTGCTTTGAAGCTTATGCAAATATACTGTTTGGTTCACTTAAATCTATATTTTCCCTTAGAACATAGTATTAGTTATTGAATAAACTACTGTATTAACCATGAAATACAAGACACTTAAATGTGTTAAAAGTCAATGAATAAACACTGACTTAATCTGACTGTAATTAAAATTGGATGACAGACGAACAAATAAACCTTTGGCACAATTGAAAGTGCCAGGAAAACTTCTACAGAAATTGTACCACATATTAATTCAAGATAAGCAATGAAGAGTGACACAATTGGATATCTGCAATGTTCTCCTATGATTAGACTTCATAAAAATACTTACCTGAGTAAGTTAAGCTAGGAGAAAAAACTACGTTTCCTGTGTGTCATGCAATATAATTTTACAAACATAGCAAATTCTATAAATGTGCATATGTACACATAAGTAAAATATTTAAAACCATCTTTTATTTCTCAGTTCTACAAGAGCCTTTTTCACATCCTTGTTCCGTAGACTATAAATCAGAGGGTTCAGCATGGGAATCACAAGAGTGTAGAACAGTGAGGTCATTTTGTCCTGATCTAGAGAATAGGAAGAAGTTGGCCGGAAATACATGAAGAGCATAGTTCCCTGGAAAATTGCAACTGCAATTAACTGGGAGGCACAGGTGGAGAAAGCCTTGAGCCTCCCCTCAGCAGAGTGGATCTTTAAAACTGATAAGATGATATAACAATAGGAGACAAGAACTCCTGAGATGGTGCTCAGTTCAATAAAACCAAAAATGGTGAATATCACTAGCTCATTGACATGTGTATCTGAACAAGATAGTATCAGGACAGGAGGGACATCACAGAAGAAATGGTTAATCTCATTAGACCCACAGAAACACAAGCGGAATGTCAATGTCGTATGTATCAAAGCATCTGCCATTGCCACCAGGTAAACCCCAGCCATGAGCAGGGCACACACCCTGCTGGACATGTTCACTGCATAGAGCAAGGGGTTGCTGATGGCCTTGTACCGGTCAAAAGCCATCACTGCCAGCAGTACACACTCAGCATCTGCAAAGATACAGAAGGTCAAGAACTGCAGAGCACAGCCAGAGAAAGGAATTGATTTGTTTTCAGCAAAGAGGTCCACCAGCATCTTCGGTCCAATTGCTGTGGAATAGCAGAGGTCACAGAAGGAGAGGTGGCTGAGGAAAAAGTACATTGGTGTGTGAAGGTGGGAATCCACTTTAATTAAACTGATCATTCCAAGGTTTCCCAGAAGATTGATGAGGTAAACAAGCAGAAACATGGTAAACAAGGTCACCTTCATTTTGGGATTTGTGGTTATGCCCAATAAAATGAATTCTGTCAAGGTAGAGCAATTCTCCCTTTCCATTCTTCTTTGTTCTGTAAACATAAAATATTTTCAAAAGTAATAGACACCTATTTAGTTCTTCTATGTACTCACAAAGTATCTATAAGACAGAAGACATTTCATATCTTTAATTTGGTTTTCCACCATTAGACAAATAGTCATGTCTCACTCTTTAAAGAACTATCATATCTATTGGACAATAACAAAAATGTTTAATACATCAGTTGGGAAAATGATTGAAATCTACATGTCATTTATGATGGATGACTTTCTACATTTTCTTCAAATTCTCTGGACTTTATCGTACAATCTTAAAGAGCTATAGCTCTAATATACTGAAATCTCACTACATTTTCAAAATAACATGGAGTTAACTTACGTAAAGTAGACTGCATGATGTAGCACTAAACTGTTTGCTCCTTAAAAACATTCACATTAGTGCACAAATGTCAGTTATGATGTGCCTTCAAAGTCATGATTGATTTAGAACATATTACTTTAGTTCTAGAAACAATGAGCATACTACTGACTAATAAAAAGTAAAATGGTTATATCTTATTGTGCGTGGTCAGTATGTTCTTCATTGATAAGACGTGAAACAAATGTCATTGAACTTTTTTTGGGAAATGTAGTACAGTTTTGCCACAATGTTCATTGCCTATTGACAGGGTTAAACTGAATCACAATGATGACTGATTGTCTTAATCATTAAAAGAGAAATTCTAAGAAAAATGTGCAAATACATACCTTAATACATACTTTTGTATTACACAAGATTTTAAATGTTATTTCATATTTAAAAATATTAAAATGCTATTAAGGATAATAAATAATACAGAGAAATATAGGCATTTCTTCTTTTTATTTGGGCACAGTAATATATGTATACATATATAAGGACCTATACGTTTTTATGCATTTGTATATGCAGTTGGCTTTATTCACATAAGAATTGAAATGCAGAGCATGGATGTCTGTGGTGCTTTTTGTTCTAGGTAACTATGGTGTGTGATGCATACCGGGTTGATATTATAAATATTGTTATTTACAGCATAATTCCGAGTTAACACAACAAACACAAAAAGAAACTTTGAGTTGATTTATGTACCTACACAATTATAAAATGAATAAAAACTTGCTTATAAACCTAAAGTAAAATAATAAAAATGTTATGTTGTGAATACTAATAATTTCTGCCAGAGTCCTCTAGTTCTGAGTAGAAAATATTTTTGATTATTAGATTTCAAAATTTATCGTACTAAGTAAAATGGCATAAATGATTAGTCCACCTAATATTTTTAAATCTGAAAACTCAGAAATTTACCTGAGATGAACGGGTCTTCAGTGTCTGAACACTGGTAGGGTAGCATTTTTATCTTACAATGTAGCATTTGGGAATTAAATGACTTCCCTCAGGCTTTGGTGATATGCAAATCTGGTTTATTCTTTTTCTGGTTCTGTGTTTTCCCTTGTGAAAACAAGAACATAAAGTCTTTAGTAAATGTTACTTTTTAAATCTATATCACTTTCATCAAATTGATCTATATCAGGAAGAAAGTTTCAAGTCAATTTTATGGTGTAAATTATACAGTCTACACTAATTTTATAATGTAAAATATATCATCCTTATTTGTCTGGAGCCAAGTATAAAGCAATTCAAATAGTCCTCCTAGCATTTTCACCTCGTTTTATTGCTTATTATTTCTTCCACTTTTGAAGCTCTGTCTTTCATCCATCTAATGGATTATTACTACTGTTTTTTGCAATGATTGAGATAGAAAGCAGGGCCTTGTGAGTGCTTGACAAGTGATTTACCACTGAGCAATAACTCTAGCCCCACTATTGCTAACTTTGCATGTTATTTCTATTGATAGCTTATATATATGAAATTCACACATTAAAGGAAAAATTCTTTGATTTTTACTATATTCACTAGGTGGTATAGCCTTTACAATTATCTACTTCCAGGTCTTTTTTCATAACACACAGTGGCTCCACCTTTGCCCCTTCTGGCAGTCCCTGGCACACTATACTTTCTGACTCCATGCAGGTTTGGCTCTGGGTCCTTTTGAAGTAGCATTGTCTAACCATATACCATGGTGGTAGGTCAAAATTCAAAAAGCTTTTTGTTAAAGTTGTTTTTGTTTCCTTCAGTTCTATGAAAATATCTTGTCACTCTCTTCTGACCTGTACAATTTCTCCTTTGAGGTATGCTTTCACATGAGCTGGGACAACCTTATGGGTTGCTTCTTTTTATTGAAGTCCTGAGATTCTTGTCTGTATCTTCCACCAGTGAGAGTTTTAGATGCCCTGGGGTAGACTTTTTTGAGTTTAATCTGGCTGGAGACTTTAACCTTCCTGTATCTTTCCATATGTTCAGGAGGCTTTTTGTTATTATTTGTTTGCATAAGCATCCTATCATTTTGGTGTACTCAAGTCCTTGATGAATTCCAATAACTCAAATATTTATGGTTTTAATACTATCCCAAAGTTCTTATGAGCTTTGGGCATTCATTTTTTTCTCCTCCAATTGTATATTCTTAAGTAGACTTTGAGCTCATTAATTCTTTCTTATATTTTACCTATCCTTATATCACATTTCTAATTTCACTATAATTTTCTGCTCATATATGTTTCAACTGTTTGATTTTTTTGAATTGTTTCCATCATTGTATTGATTTTCATTGGGTATTGAAATATTTCTCTGAGTTTTTGTTAAAATTTACTACATTTCCTTATGATAGATATTTAAAAATCTACAACAGTTTTTTAATATTTATGACTATCTGGTTACTCTCTGTCTTCTTATGTTGAGTGTTAAGTGAGATAATAGTTTCATGAAGTCTTTTGATATTTGTTGGAATGTGACATCATTTGACCATAATTGGATGAAGGGTTTATTTCAGTCTTCATAATCTGACTTTGTAGTGTCTGTTCCTCCAGAAATTCTAACCAAGCTACTTATTTTCTCTGAGACCATATCACTTCCACTATTTCAACATTGGATGGTACTTTGGTCCAGGTTTTCTAGCAGTCAGCTGTTGGTGTGTTGCCACTGTTTCAGTGCTAGAAAACAATACAAGCCTGAGTTGATCCCAAATACATAGTTCATGTGTTGTTTAACAGAATTTCTAGAAAAAGTTCTCCTACTCCACAATCTTCTTCTTGGGGACAGATTAGGTCCAAATGTCTCATCCATAGTTATTGTCTATATGGTAAATCATTACAGGATTCTGCTTCATTCTGGGAAGAATTACCACAGATAGACTATCCGTGGGTTCTTATGTTGCACCTGGGGCTACCATTACTGCCATTCTGAGTCATACCGGGAATCAACAGTTCATCGTGGCCAACACAACACTGGAGTAGGACCCAGACATGTGCTTCTCTGAGCTGCCTATTGCTTATGTAGATGTGTGGCTTAAGACAGCTGGAATGAGCTACAGGTGAACAGAAATTCCATAGACTGGGAAACATGATTCCCTTAGCAGTAGAGGTCCTCCAGGGGCTCTGTCCACAGGCAGGTCTTGGGAAAGGACTACAAGGATTTATTCAGCCTTAAGTTTTAGCAACCAACACTAAAGTCCAGAACAAAGTCTCATGTTTATTATCCTTCCCTAAATTAGTGAATATGGTCTTGCATCATGGTGTGTTTCCCAAGATTGGGGAAATGATGGCCAATGTGATCTCTTTTGCCATTATGTTGAGGCTAAGCATGTTCATATGAGATGCTCATAGCCACATGAAGTTTTGTAAATGCCACAATGTACCCCCAGCACAATAATTAAAAGAGTCTTTTTATATTATCTTTTTGCCATTATGCTGTGTTGAATATTTTACACATTATTTCATTTATTCTAAGTTATTTTGATGATAGCCAAAGTCTCACAGGTTTAACTTGTAACTTCAATGACCATATGTTCAAAAAATTTTTGATTATTGTGCATTTAAATGGATCCCTTGTAAGAAAGTATCCCTCATGAAAATTCATCAAATATCTTAGACTTTTAAAGTTATTAACTATACTTTTAATTTTATAAAATTAATTATCCACATGACTTTATAATTGTAAGAAAATGGTAAAGTCTTACTTAAAAAAATAATATAATCTTCTGTTTTTTTATAACCTTATAGCAAATATGTGAAGATCTCTTTTATAAGTGAATTTTAATAATGAAAACATCTCTACTGACCTAAAATAAGCAGACCCATTATTCCAGAACTTGTCCTAGTATCTATGACAAGCTGATTTCTTAACTGGCATGGTAGCATGTATGTTCTTGAAGTAATAACCAGTAACATATTTTTATGTACTCAGTGTTTGTGAAAGTAATCCAGTTATGTGTAGTTTATTGTTATTATCATATTATATTCCAATGTACAAGCATACCATGCACTCTGAAGAGGGTGGATTTTTGACCTTCTCATAGCCCAGAGGTGACCAAATACCCTGAAAAAGGAGGATTAGAGGCCTACAAAAGGCACTTATGGGGTCCCATAACCAGAAAGAAGCAAAGCCCTGTCGAAATCCACAAAGAGAAAAACTAATCACAGGAAGAACAACTCACAGCTCAACAATCTCAATTTCATGCCCCTGAAGTTTCCACGCTGCTCTAGGCTCCATTACTCAGTGGTAATTCCTGCTCCCAGGAACACATAGGAGCTTAGAGCTCCATGCTTCCCCAAGTACATTACCCACTACCTTCACCCTGAAACGTCAGGGAAATGGGCCCACCTGTGTAAGCAGGTCCCAAGGCTCCTGCTTCTCTAAGGGTAACAGAAGGCACTCCCTGAAGCCCATGCAGAAAATAGAACCCCAAAACTCTGCTGTCCATAGGCTTTGCTCTACTGAATGAGCAGCAGTGCTGCAGAATGGTACTCCCAAAGGCCAGTGTGTGAAATCAGGCTGCAGAACTTCCACTGCCCAAAAGCTTTATTCTCCTGAGCCAGCAGAAGTACCAAGGGACTGCATTCACTGAAGCTCAGGTGGCAAATTGGACCCCAGAACTGCTCCCCACAGGGTTTGT